TCTTCGAATGTCCTGTACTACCGAGGACTTCCTTGTGACCGACGGCCTGCGTCTCCCTATTTCGCCCTATGCTTACCATTAGACCCTTCTGGTTGGGATACGGGCGAGAGTTCCGACGCAATGAACGCAAAATCTCTGAAGAGGAAAATGCATGGACTCAAGCTCGCACTGACCTCGTAAACTTCATGAGTTTTTGTCTCTAATGGGAGGTGCATAAGCGGTCTGGAGGGCGACATCAATCGTATGCAAATTCCCAAACAGAGGTTATACAGAGGGGGGGGGGGGGCCAAAAAAAAGTCATTTTGCCTCCATGACTTTCAAGGCGCTATAAGTTACACTTTATTAAATTTTTATCGGACATTTTTACTACCATATTTGAAGCAGCACATCAAAATACCATATGACGATTACTCCGCCACAGCATTACTGGAAGGCGCCTCGGAATTTGAACCGCGCGAAAGTGAGGGGTACCGGAGTTGAGCGAGATCGTTGATTTCTCCGCCACCGTAGACCACCCTCTTGAACTCCGCCCGACTAGGTAACTGAGTGGATTCAGGTCAGGGGACATACTTCAATATTACATCTTCTTCAGGTACGAAACGCCCTTCCTTTCGAAGTAGGCGGGAGTTTTCCAAAACCCTTTGATTCCATGTGGTGGCACCCAAACCTGCTAGCGAACGAAGGTCTCCAAGAAGGTACGGGCGACCACATGTAGGGAGGATATTCTTCTCGAGTTACTTGATGTAACCGCCAGCGCTCACCTTCAGTCGGGGTCTACAAAGAAAATATCGGTCTTCCCCTTTCCAGGTACCCCGGTCCATACCATCAACTCGCGCCTCGGCGAATACGGTGAAGATGATGTCCTAGACCGTACGCGACGTTGCGTAGCTGCAAGTCGACGTGGGAGGTCTTGCAGGTCAAGAGTATGACCTCCAGGTAGCTATCTGTGGATGACTTCATTCAAGAAGTTTCGCAGCTGTTTGGAGGCGACGTGAATTCCAAAGGTGTTCTCCAGTCAGGCCGCGACTGGAGATATGGACTTCATATTTTAGCGTACATGAAGCGATGGGCCGGCCACTGACCACCGGGGCAGCGTGCCTCCCAAGCTTATAATGAAGATTTGGGTATCTTCTCACTCTGGTACTCATATCCACTTCCCCTGTCTGGCTGCGAAAACTTCGTTGATATGTGGCTCGGCCGAAATGACTTTTTTGGCCCCCCCCCTGTATAGTCTCTGACGGAAGCGAGGTTGTATTTTTATCTGAGGAAAATTTTGTCTGATATTTGATTTTCTCGTGAATCAGGGCGCTACAATAGGGAGGAGTGGTTTACGGAACTAACGTGTGGCCCATCGGGGTCTGATCGTCATGTTAGAATCGTCGAAACTGAGTTGACATGAGTCATCGCCATGCTTTCAGCAACATGGCACTCACATTTAACGCCAAATTATGATCGTTCGAGGGGTGTGCAAGTGCGGCAAAGCGTCTTCCACTGCTATGAGTTTTCCCTACAGACGCCAGTATGATATTTTGTTGAACTATGTTTT